TTTTGTGACCTGTGTGGTTTTGCCGGATGTGGCAGTAACTGTGGTAGTTAAGGTTGTGTGTCAATTTGGCTGCTCCATAGTTTTGAGTGGCTTGGCAGGTGAGTGTAGTTATTCCCCATGATAAGACTGTAATCACCTCCATGGTCGAATCTGCTGTTAACTAACCAGTTGAAGAACTGCCTTTGGGGGTGTGGCCTGCTTCCAGTATCTATGGTGAAGCTTTGAGGAAGCTCTCTAGCTTTAGGCACATTTTGGATCCTGCATTTGTCTGAGTCCTCATCTCCCGCTCTTGGACTTGTATCATGGCCTGCCATGCTGCCTGCTGATCTTGGGACTGTTTCTGGACTTGAGCCAGTGGTCTGCTGTGTTCTTGTTGATCTTGGGTTTGTCAGCCTCAGCAGCCAGCAGCTGCATGAGTCAGAAGAAGCTTCCAGCACCAGTGGGCCTGGAACAAGAGGCAGAGCTGAAGCCCAGCACTGAGAGGCCTTCAGCCAGCCCCTAGAGCTGGCACTCTGAATCCAGACTCCTACCCCCCTAAACTTTGAGAATAAATTCCCACTTGTTGAAGCAATCCACTTGCAGTATTTCTATCACAGCAGCACTAAAGAACTAAGGCAGTAATTCAACTTGGTTTTACTTTTTTTTTTTTTTTTTGATACCTAGAATCTGAACCCTTATGTTTGAAAAACTTTCACTAGAAGACAAATAGATATCACCCAGAGATCCCAGATTTGGGATTGGATACAGTAGCATGAGACTCTAGGTAACCTGTATTTGGGAAGAGGATGGACATAATTTTGATTATAACACAGATAGCTGTATTGTATTAGGTAGGATATTATATATACATATTTAAAAAAGTAAAAGTGTAAAAAAGTAAAGTAAATGTTGGTAACATGAGCTGGGCAAAAGGATGAGCTATCCTGGAAACCTTTTTCTTTGCTGTTGGATAGAAAGTGAATAAAAATTCTATGAATGACAAACTGTTCTCTAAGTTAGTATGAGTGAGACATAGAGCCCACCTACAATTACAATTCACCTGAAAACACCAGCTACTAATGACAGTAGCACACACCAGACCTAAGTACTTGGCCCAGACAAAACCAGTGCAGAAGTATAACCTTGAGTAACTCTCATGGTTTCTGTAGCATGATTCTAGAAGTTTTCTGTCTTTATAGCCCAGAGAATGGTCTTATGGTTTCTTGACAATTATGTAAGCCACCTAATATCCTCTTTAAAACATCCTTTTTCTGAATCTATCAGCTAGAGTTGGTTCCTATGCTCTCCAATTAACAACTCTGAGGTACTACAAGTTGAAAAGAACAATGTGCTTTTACTGATGTAAGCCATTAAGTCTCTAAAGTAAAACTGACTGAATCCACCTGCAACATTTATAAACAAACCAGAAAATTTGAATTTTTCAAGATAAATTCTAACAGCTGAGGTAAAATTAACTGGTCTTGTTAACTATAATAAGTAAGACATATAGTGTAGATGCATTGAGTATAAAATCCATACAATTTTTAACATACAAAAGGCTTATCTGAAAACAGCATCAAAAAGTCTGGATTTCCTTAACTAAAATCTCTCAACAATCATCAAGAAAAGCAAACTTTATTTTGTCAAGTCTAAGAGCTGAAGCACCAGCCCACTTTTTTGGGGGGAGGGGGGTAAAGAGTCCAAAAGCAGTAAAGGCTGAGCAGGAGTGTGGGAGGAAATGGAGATAAAGTATCTTTGGCAGGCACATTTATCTGAAGTGAGGGAGACACCCTTTAATTGCAGACCAACATCCTTTACAATGGGAAGAACCAAGTGCGGTGTCTTTCCTGGCATTATTATGGATCTGAGAACCAGAGAAGGCTGAGTAGATAGAAATGATAGGAAGGAAAATATATTTGTGTGAAGCAGTCAAGCTCTGACACAGTAAAAAATGAGACTGCATAGTGCATGGCCTTGAAGCTGAGTCTAGTGCTGGCTATGGAGGAATCAAGACCAAAACACTTATATGCTTATATAGCCTGGAACATGGCTGTTACAGGAAAAATTCATCTTATACAAGATGAATAGTTGGAAATCATTGGGTACAAGGTCTGTGCAAAGACATTACAAGAAAAGATGGATGTGAGAAAAGCACCAGTTTATTACCTCTCTGGGTCAGAGGCTTCAGGCTTATGGTAGACCACAGGACCAGAATGCACAATTTAGGGGCAACAGTGAGAAAGACATGTGAACCAATCTGAAGGCCAATGAATAGTTCTAAATCTTGTGTCTGTAAAAGCAGCCTTGCAAGATTAATTTAGGTGATAAGCACTTAGCCAGGGCTGTGCATTCCCACTCAGAGGCCTGTCACCATAGGGACACACCCCAGAGAAAAGGCAAGATGAGATATGAGGGGAGGGAATAACACAACTAGAGCTTTTTTCCACTGCTCTGGATATATGAAAATAAGCCACTTGCCCCTTATGCCGCCCGTGCAGTTGCAATTCTCTCCTACAGAATCCTCCTTGGCCTAAATTCCCAGGTGCCCATTCCCAGTGCACTATTTTATTTTCAGTGCCGAATATCCCTGGAAATCTAAGTCCTAAAGAGTAACCCACTCATTCTAACCCAAATGGATATCTCAGAATCATGAGGAATCTTTGCTATCTGGTTTCCTAGTATTTTCTAAATGGTCAAAATAGATGGAAAGCTTTATATTCCCTTTTTGTTGCTGACTGATTTTTACTTATCATATCATTTATTATAGGAAAGCAGCATACACTCTAAAGAGGGGAAAAAAAACTACACATAAGCCTAAAAATCAAATAGATACTACTGCCACATCCCCTTTCAATTCGGATCCATATACAAATATTTTATTATAATGGAAGAATGTCCTGCATTTTTCACTTCGTATCATAGTGATTTTCCTAATTTCTACTAAATCTTCATATAGAATAGGACCCAAACAGAAAAAACCCACCGCCATAAATTCCAACTTATAGCAACCCCACAGGACAGAAAAGAACTGTCCCACAAGGTTGCCAAGGCTGTAAATCTTTACAGAAGCAGACTGTCACATCTTTCTTCCATGGAGTGGCGGGTGGGTTTGAACCACCAACCTTTTGGTAACCAGCCAAGTGTTTAACCACTATAGCACCAGGGCTCCTCTAGGAAGTGCTGTATAAAACAGATTAGAAAGTACCTAATGAGGAAGCCATGCAATAAAATGGTACACTGTAAAATTGTTTCCCATCCCAAGTAAACTTTCACCCAAATCGCAATTAAAAAAAAAAAAATCATTTCCCATGCTAAATCTTAACAACCAAAGCAATTTTTCCATCTACTCCACAATGCACCAGCATCAGCATCCTAACTTACTCTTTATTACAAAAGAAGTCTGTGCCACTGGCAGTTCAGTCTATCAACCATTCGATGGTTTTCTCTGATTCAGGCTTGAGTGCTTTTTAACAAAGAAAGGTGCCAACATTTATTACTTTTATAGCAATGTGCCTTGAAGGACAAGTTTGATTTTGTATGGGGAACTACTAAGTAAAACAAGCAGAGTTTTTCCCTGTTTCTTCAACATAATGAATTTCCAGATACACAATAACGGAAAGTTTCCCCACATACATTGTTTTTATAATAGTTCTCCCCACCACATGTACTCCCTTTTAAAAAGAAAACAAATATACTCTGCCTGAACACTCTCCACACTAGTTACATTCATATGGTTTCTCCTTCAGCATGAGTCGCCTGATGCCTAATAAGTTTAGAGCTATTAATGAAAGCTTTCCCACATTGATTGCATGTAAAGGGTTTCTCTCCAGTATGAGTTCTTTGATGTACAATAAGTCGAGCACTCAAACTGAAGGTTTTTCCACACTGATTACATTCATAGGGTTTCTCTCCAGTATGAGTTCTCTGGTGTTGTGTAAGGCATGAGCTCTGCCTAAAGGATTTCCCACACTGATTGCATTCATAGGGCTTTTCTCCAGTGTGAGTTCTCTGATGTACAACTAGAACATAACTCTGGCTGAAGGATTTCCCACACTGATTACATTCATAGGGTTTTTCTCCAGTGTGTGTTCGCTGATGCATAACAAGGTGAGAGCTGCGGTTGAAAGATTTTCCACATTCATTACATTCATAGGGTTTCTCTCCGGTATGAGTTCTTTGATGTGCAACAAGCTGAGAGCTCCAGCTGAAGCATTTCCCACACTGATTACATTCAAAGGGTTTTTCTCCTGTGTGAGTTCTCTGATGGGCAACAAGTTTATAACTTTGACTGAAGGACTTTCCACATTGATTACATTCATAGGGCTTCTCTCCAGTATGAATTCTTTGATGTGCAATAAGTTTATAGCTCTGGATAAATGACTTCCCACATTCATTGCATTCGTAGGGTTTCTCTCCAGTATGGGTTCTTTGATGTGCAATAAGTTTATAGCTCTGCCTGAATGACTTTCCACATTGATTGCATTCATAAGGTTTCTCTCCTGTATGAGTTCTTTGATGCACAACAAGGACATAGCTCTGGCTAAAAGATTTCCCACATTGATTACATCTATAAGGTTTCTCTCCAGTGTGAGTTCTCTGATGGGAAACAAGGTGAGAGCTCCGGCTAAAAGATTTCCCACATTCATTACATTCATAAGGTTTCTCCCCCGTGTGAGTTCTCTGGTGTGCTACCAGGTGAGAACTCCAGCTGAAGGATTTCCCACACTGATTACATTCAAAGGGCTTTTCTTCAGGATGGTTTCTCATGTTTTGAGCAAGGGATGAGCTCTGGGAGGCCTTACTACATATATATTGATTCTCTTCAACAGGAATTCTCTGTTCACTACAGGATATACTGTGGTTCAAAACTTGCCCACATTCCTTAAAATCAAAGGTTTTTCCTCCTGCATGAATTTTCTCACGTATATTTAGGGGTGTAATATGGCTAAAAGATTTAATACTATCACTAAATCCACAGGATTTATCTTCTGTTTGAGTTCTTGTAAGCTGAATAAGGTGAATGCTCTGGGGGAGGTTTCCACATTCATTATTTTCACATAATTTCTTGCTGTCATCAATCTTCTGATGATTGTTTACAACAGAATTATGATATAACTTTTTAACATTTGAGGCATGTTTATGAAAATGTTTCCTTATGGGTATCACTTGGGATGAAAGAAGACTGGAATTCAGACCACTCTTATCCTCAAGTTCATCGCTCTTACAGACCTTCTCATAAATAACCGCTTTCCTTTGGGTGAAAGCCAGTTCCTGCAAAAGTCTGTCTTGTTTTTCCTGTTGCTTCTCCAATTGGTCCTTACAATCTCGGATTTTTCCACATGAAGACAACCAAGGATCATCCCTTGTCAATCCTTCTATCTTCACTCCATGGGGTGATTCTTCATCAAAAGTGCCGTGCTTTGAAGTTGATTCTCTTCTTCCAAGTGCAGCTGCCAAGTCTGAAAGAAAGTAAAATAAGACAACTTAGACAAAAAAAAAAAAAAAAAGTTAGAGCTGGAATAGTGGAATAAACCTGACAAGAAAGTATGCAATATATATATGGATTTGCTTTCAGATATAACTTATAACCCAGATTGAGAAAGCAAAAGGGTAGGATGAAAAACTACCACAACCCAATGGTATAACTGAGTGTTGAAATGGCCTCATTTTGTCTGAATATCTAAGAATTTAGATGCCAAATACTTGCATATTCTAATATAAGATTCTCTATGCAGAACCCAAAGGAGCTCTGGTAATGCAAAGGTTAAGCATTTTGGCTGCTAACCAAAAGGTCAGTGGTTGGAACTATCAGCAGCTCCATAGAAAAGACAATGATTTGTTTCCAAAAGATCACTGCTTTGGAAATCCTATGAAGCAGTTCTACTCTGTCCTATAGGATCCCCATAGATTGTAATCAATTCGACAGTAGACAGTAACATGCAGAATCTACAAAATATTAAAACAGTTTTGCAATCTCTGTCAAAGAATAGAGGGTCTTCAGAGAGAGTTACATGGGCAGTACAAACAACAAATATGAACCCCTTTGTAAATACAATACTGAGTTGTTAATGAAAGCAAACATGGGTATAGGGACGGATAGATGGGTGAACAAGCTAAACAATTATGTATGTCTAAATGGAGAGTGTATCCAAGATCATATACAGGGTTGGCAGACAATGGGCCTCTCGAAGAGTATGAAGGGATGGACACTGGGAGGAGGTAACTATGGGGAGGAAGTGGGAGGGGAGCTGCTGCATTGTAAATTTTGGTCAATGACATGAGACAAAGTATATGTGAACTGCTGTATGAAAAGTGAATTTACTCTGTAAATCTTCACCCAAATCCTAAAAAAAAAAAAAAAAAAGAATAGAGGGTCTTTTCCACCCTCTTCAGTGCTAGGTACATGTTCACTGAAATAGAGATTAGTGTCTACATTTCTAGGAATTTATGATGGTATGACACTTGCTAATAACCTGTATCAGCAACACATGTGCAAACTACATTTGTGAACCCGTGAAAAAGAATGGGAACAGTGTTACCCCTGTTCCCAAAATACCTTAGGGGTTAATTGTGCCCCATGGATTCCTGTAATTTCAAGGAAGGAAGAATAGTTTAGCTCAGAGACAGAAGCCTTCCTGGCCACTAGATCACACAATAAAGAATGCACCTGAGAAAAGTGGTGATGTATGCATCCCAGCAGGAGGTGGGAGATGAAGAAAATGTGGCATTCCCTATGGGATTTTTCAAACAAATCCTCTATGCTTGTATGTCTGGTTCTCACTTGGGCACTTGTGCTGAGATATTTTTTTATACTCTTGACCTTCTTCCAAACTAGGAGATGGTGCCTGGTTTGAAAAGCTGAGAGGGAAAGGCACAAGACTTTGGGTGTTTGGGCTGCGACAAAAGAAAACTGCAGAATTTGGTCCCTGTCTGTGGCCTTTAGCAACCATGACGACTGAACAAGCTCAAGCTCAAGAAGCTGTATCTTTTTCATCCTATGAATCAGAATGAATTTCTACCAGGGAATAAAGAGGCCAAACACAATCTTGTGTGGCCAAAATCATTCTGTTGAACCCCATAGCTCTTCTAACGACGCAAAATCATCCCAACAGATAAAGCTTCATTAAGGGGACTGCATTCTTACCCCAGGAGACCAGGTCCTTGTGGTTCTCCAATATCACGTCTCTATCCAAGGTCTTCTGAGCAGAGCTCAAAGTGCCCTGTTCCTCCTGAGTGTAGTCCACAGTTACAGTTTTGAAGTTCACTCCTTCCTAAAAGAAGATACATATGCTTGCTCAGCCAGGCCTCACTTCCTTCCAATTGTCATGAGGAAGAAAGAGTTTGGCAAATGGAGGAAGAAAAGCCTGACAGCCTCAGAGTTGTTCTGAGACAGTTAGTGTCCAGTGGATTCCGGTCAAGCCATACAGGTGTCATCTAGGAGAGTCCCTTTGGGTTTTAGATGCTGAACCATTCTTATTGCCCCAAAAACCAGATAAGAACTGACAGAGATTGTTTACTAAGACTCTTGTCCACCTTACAGAAAATGCTTACTCTGGTTTTTGCACTGGTGAATACAGAATTTTCACTTAGAAATTTCTTCCAAATTACCAAGAAACTAACAGAAGTTAGCAAACTTTCTCTGCCAAAGGCCAGACAGTAACTCTTTTAACATATGCAGGTCATACAGTTTGTATGATAACTACTCAGCTCTGCTGCTATAGTAAGAAAGTAGCCATGGGTATATGGAAACAAGTGGGTATGGCTATAGTCCAATAAAAATTTATTTACAAACCAGGCAGTGAGTCAGACTTGGCCCACCAGCTATGATGCCTGAGATAGAAGTTGAAAAATAGGTCTCAATGAAAGATAGCATGCATAGGTTAAAAGCACTGGATTTGGAAAAGGATCTCACTTGTAAAGAGTGTATGTTAGGTTCCTGGGTGGTGCAAATGGTTTGCACTGGACTACTAAAGGTTGACGGTTTGGACCTACCCAGTGGCATCATGGGAGAAAGGCATGGCAATATACTTCCATATAAATTTCAGCCAAGAAAACCCTATGAAGTAGTTCTATTCGATAGATGTGATAACACATGGGGCTGCCTTCAGAATCAACTTGACAGCAATGGGTAACTCTGGCAATGTCTTTAATGGAGAGTGTCTTGATTAAATAGTGTTGCTGTGACAGAAATACCACAAGTTGGTGGCTTTAACAAACAGAGATTTAGTCTCTCACAGTTCAGGAGGCTGGAAGTCTGAGCTCAGGGTGCCGGCTCTAGCAAAAGCCTTTTTCTCTGTGTGTCTCTCAGTCCTAGGGGGTCCCAGTGCAGGGACCCTGTGTCCAAAGGAGGTACTCCACTCCTGGCTCCTCTTTTTTGGTGGTAGCCAAGTGGGGACTTTCTTAGCAGTCCCTCCAACCTTTGTTCTCTTCTCTCCTTTTATCTCTTGTAAGATAAAGGTGTTGCAGACCACACCCTGGGAAGCTCCCCTTACACTGGATCAGGGCTGTGATGGGACTAAGGGTATCACATTCCACCCTTAATCCTTACACTTGATTAGCTTATAACATCAGATCTCATCAGCCTATCATTACATATCTGTCTCGTTACATCATTATATAACTGCCAAACCACTGAGAATCATGGCCTAGCCAAGCTGACACAAACTCTGGGGGGACACGATTTGATACATGGCATTCCATCCTTTGGCCCCCAGAAATAGGTATCTATCTGAGTGGTGACTTCACCCACCTCAGCCCCCGGAGGCCCTGTTCTTCTCTCCCTTGGGCATGGCACCCCACCCCCTTAGCCTTGGGCAGTGGATCCAGCCCCATCACACGGAGCTAAGAGCTAACTGCCTTCAGGCTGATGCTTACTGGCAGAGTGGTGTGGCACTTATCAGCCAAGCTGAAAGAACTTTGAAACACTTGCCTGAACAGGGCAGAGGCCTAGGACTATAGGGGCTGTTCCTCTTCAAACTGCATTCCTTGGAATAGTAGACTGATTCAAAATGGCCAATACCAGTCCCTTTCAGCTCACTAATGCACAGGATATCAATCTTTACGCATTCATTTCATTTTTGACAGCTTCCCATTTTCCTAGATTCGTATTTCATCAATTCCACTTCCTATTACTAATGGAAGGTTGGGCAATCCTACTTCCGTAGTGATACTGTCTCGGAAACCCAAGGAGGGGTCGCTATGAGTCGGGGCCGACTCGACGGCACATAACAACAACAACAACAACAACATTACTAATGGATGTTTCTTCTCATTTTGAGTCATGCCCCATCAGCAAATGCAGGTCCCAAAAACTTTACTCCATCCACATCATTAGAGTTGAGTCTACTTTGAGGAGGCAGCTGTTCCCCAGTCATAGTTTGATTGTCTTCCAACCTGAAGGGCTCATCTTCTGGCCCAGAAGTCAGTACTATACCAGACTGTGTTTCACCGCTATTCATAAGATTTTCAGTAGCCAATCTTCAGAAACTGACCTGGCCTCCTCCTTCTTCCTACTCTGAATCTGGAAGTACACTTGGAACCTGTCCACCAAGGGTGAGCCTACTGATATTTAAAATACTGGTGGCATAGTTTCCATCACAGCTACACACACACACACACACACACATGTATATATACACATACACATACACTCACATATACATACCTATACACATATTCATCTACGTACAAACATATACTTGCATGTGTATTGTGTAGCTTTTGTTGTTGCTTAAAGTTATGTGTATCATGGCAGATACAGAAATGTCCTTTTTTCTTATGTACATTTTAGTGACATTGCTTACCTCTGAACACTTCACTCTCACTTGGGGTAACCTTTCCCATCACCAGAAGTAACAAGTGTCTACCAACTGGAGAGTGAATCTCTCTCTCCCACTAACCCTCATCCCTCATAGCCAATAACAAACATTAGTTTTTGTGTATTTGCCTGTTCATGTCATTTCATGAAAGTGAGTAATATATGTATGTATATATATATATATATATACACACATAAAAAAAAACTCACTGCCATCGAGTCGGACCTGACTCATAATGACCCCTCCTTGGGTTTCCGAGGTGGTATCATTACGGTAGATCGCCCAACCTTTCTTCCGAGGAGTGGCTGGTGGGTTTGAACTGCCATCCTTCTGGTTAGCAGTCAAATGCCTTAGGCACTATGCCACCAGAGATCCCTATATCTAATATATATGTATGTATATATACGTAAATATACATACACACACACACACACACACATATATAGTGATTGACTTACTTCACTGAACATAATGTCCTCCAGGTTCATCCATGTTCCAAAATGTTTTGAGAACTCATTTTTCTTTATCACTGAGTAGTATTCCACTGTATGTATGTACCACATTTTACTCATCCATTCATCCACTGATGAGCACTTAGGTTGTCTCCATCGTTTTTTTTTTCTTTCAGATCCCTAGGGTATATTCCTAGGAGTGAAACTGCTGGGTCTTACGGCACCTCTATCTAGTTTTCTGAGGAGTCCCCACACTGTTTCCCATGACAGCTGTGCCATTTTAGACTCCCACTAGCAAGGAATGAGGGTTTCAATTTCTCCACATATCCTCCGACACTTGTTATTTTTCATTTTTTTTTTCTTTATGTTAGCCATCCTAATGGGAATGAAATTATCTCATTGAGATTTCAACTTGTATTTCTCTAATGGCTAATGACATTGAGCATCTCTTCATGTAACTGTTGGCCATATGATTATCCTTTTTGGTGAAGTGTCTATTCATGTTCTTTGCCCAGTTTTTGATTGACCCAAAGGGTTTTCAATGGCTAATTTTTCAGAAGATTGTCAGGACTTTTTTCCAAGGTACCTCTGGTGGTCTTGAACCTCCAACCTTTCAGTTAGCAGCCAAGAGCATTAACCATTGGTACCACCCTGGGATGCCCCTTCAACATATGGATACTGACTTTTCTGGACTTCCATCTCACTTTGAGGTGCTCTGGTAGGGTACTGCCTAAGGCACATGACTGCTAACCCACCAGCCACTCCACGGAAGGAAGACATGGCAATCTACGTCCTTAAAGATTTACCACCTCAGAAACTCAAAAGGGGTCACTATGAGTCAGAATCGACTTGATGGCAGTGAGTTTGGTTTTTGGTTTATTTCACTTTACACTATTCTTCCGCTTACTTGTTCCCAAAATTCTCACTCCTCAAAACTCCTTCCCAATGCTGGTCTGATAGAGCCTGGTGGAACCACTGAGACTATGGCCCCTAGCTGCCCTTCAGGTTTGGAATTGAACCCACACCTGTGGCTTCCAGCCAAACAAAAGACAGACGTATGAGCTGAACATTTACATGAGGTAGATACACTCCTTGGAGAGAACAATCATGGGAGAAAGAAGGGCTGTTTGTGCACAGGGAGACAGCTCAGGGGGCAGGAGTGCATGGAGGGATGGACACAGGGAAGAGGTAACTCGGGAGGAAGTAGGAGGGGAGCTATCGCACTGGGGTAAATTGCAGTCAATGTCATGAGACAAAGTGTACGTGAACTGCTGTATGGAAAGTGAATTTGCTCTGAAAACTTTGACCCAAATCACAATTTAAAAAAAAAAAAAAAACTCCTTCCCAAACCCTTCAACTGTGACCTCAGGAACTCATCTTCCAGAATAACATCCTACAGCATCAATATTTTCACCAAATACTCCCTATGCATCTCTGTGCTAATGGAAACTGGCACTTCCCCCTTGAGACTCCCCCCCCTCTGCTCTGCAGTCCTAAGGATGGCCTTGCTCTCCCACTCCAAGGATATCAGCATCAGGAATGGGAGGGGGTATGTCCTCCCAGTCACTCTGAAACTCCTGTCATTTATCTCAGAATCTATCACTTCTTGGAGCTCTGTCCTACCAACCTCTGGAACACCACTAACCTCACCCCATCCACTGAAGACCCATACCTAATGATTTATCCCCTCATACAAGAACTTGTATTGTCTCATCTTCCACTGTCTATAGCATTCTCCCACATACTCATCCTATAATAATATAAAAATAACTGACTTTCATGAAGCTCTACTGCATGTTATCAAGTAGTATTCTAAGCATGTTACAGGGACTATTATGCAGTTAATTATCCCAAAGCTCTTGTGGGAAAATGTTATTAGCAGCACCGTTTTTCAGTTAATGAATGAGAAGCCTAGCGAAATTAAGAAACATGCCTAAGCTGTAATGTGACTTCAAGTTGGCACGACATCAGAGATTGTGTTTTCTGTCATCAATGCAGACAGCTAACCAATTCACAGATCCTGGAATCACTCTTCAGCTCCCCGCTGTTGGGGTGATACCCCAGGCCCCGAAGTTACCATAAAGTCCTCTATCTCTGAAACCACACAGACAACACAGCCCTTTTACTCTCGTTCTTCAATGGTTTGGGGCCATCACAATATTCAAAGGTCTACTTCATCACCAGCTACCTACCAGTCTACGTTCTTTTCCGTTCTATTTAGTGGACTCTCTATCATTTCCCTCTTGATTATTTAGATTAGAAAAATTATTCAGATTAACCTTTATATTTGATACATGCAAAAATTGTCTTTCAAGTACTCCCTTGACCTATGGAACTTCTACTGCATGTGCCTGGCAAATCACAACTAGTTGAACCTGAATATCAACAGTCTATCTATGGAAAATGGATTGCAGTAACACTGCGGAAAAAACACAATACTGGGCACCTGAATAGAGTATTATAAATTACTGGTCACTATCCTTTGAAACCAACCAGCAACCCTATTAGACTACTTGGGGCAGTTTGTTCTCTCATAAGCCAAAATTACTATTTCAAACCTTCTCCACCCTTGTCAGGGAGCTCTGGTAGCATAGTGGCTAAGGCACTTGACTGCTAACCAGAAGGCTGGTGGTTCAAATCCACCGGCCACTCCTCAGAAGGAAGATGGGGCAATCTACTCCCGTAGTGATACTGCCTCGGAAACCCAAGGAGGGGCACTGTGAGTCGGGTCCGACTCAATGGCATATAATAACAACAACCACCCTTATCAAACATTTCTCCATTCCAATTCCCACCCTCATGCCCAGCAGATAACTTCACCTGACTTTTCACAGAAAAGAACACCCAAGCCTTCAGGTAATTCCCTCAACCTCATTCTTCCTATATGAGTCCTTCCTATAAAAGGTCAATTTATTCACATATGCTCTGAATTAAATCCTCTGGCCCTGAATCAAGGACTCTGCTGTATAGTTTATGTCCTCTTTCCATGATCTTTAACTTCTTTTTCTCTCTGTTAAGTCCTTCTCCAACTATTTAAACATTGTCAAATCTTTTTAATCCTTAAAGGGGGTAAGGGAGAATTCTTTCAATTTCAGATCTTGCAGTTATCACCCTCTTCAATCTTTCACCTCATAACCAAACTTTCTACAAAACTTTTCTACTCTTACCTCCATTTCTTCACTTCCCACCACACTTGTTTCTGCTGCCAAACAGCCATGCCAATTTCTCAATGTGGAAACTGGTCATGCCCAACTCACCTGGGACGGGATGGCCAGTGATCCAGTGTCTTCTCCCTCAACCTTGATGATAATCTCTTGAGGAAGGAGAGAGTCCTAAGAAAGCAAAACAAATGAGGAAAAAAAAAAAAAAATCAGGGAGCTAAGTCATGGCTCAAAATTCCCACTGTGAGCAGACTAAGATTTGACACAGCGACTATATTAACACTTCCACTCCCTCCCACTGATAAGCCCACGCTAGCCATGCGGACATCTGCAGGAGCAGTGAGACACCAGACATGGGCATAAGGTCACTGTGGACCTCCCTAGGTAGCCCAGGTACCAGCTAAGTGCAGCTGAGTGAGTGAGCCCAGTCCCCATCGGGAGCAAAAGAACCATCCAGCTGGGCCCTGCCTAAATTCCTGGGTCACAAATTGAGAGCAAATAAAATGAAATACAGCATGATCAAAGCCAGAATCATAAGGATTAATGGATTAACGACATGAAATGTTTGGCAACAAGCGCCAGCAACGAAGACACCATCAATAACAACCTGCATTAAGACTTCTCTAAATCAGTAAGAAAAACAGCCTCAATGGGAAAACAGACCAACGACGATGCAGGTGTAACTTAGGAGAAAAATAAATGGCCAGTGAATACATGAAAAGATGCTCACCTCTTTAAATCAAATGATAGACTCTATCTAATTTCTATAACTACTTGTCTCTATATGAGACCATAAATTCACACCAATACCTACAATTACAAGAGAATGATACATTTTATTCTAGTGTTCCTGCTTTTTATGGCTGTATCTTCCTTCTCTGGCCCCCACTGCCCTCATTATAGTTACTTATTTGCTCCAACCTTTGTATGTCAACAATTCTTCAACCACAGAGAGGGTTTCTGATGCCCATGGGCACCAACCAACACAGTCTGCACCAGCACAGTCCCCCACTTCCCACCACGGCAGCCCATACAGCTATCCTGGACTGGACACACACACACATACATATTTTTTAAAAATTTTATTTGAAATAGTTTAAAACTCATAAGAAGTTGCAAAAATAGTACTGAAAGGCCTCATGTTCCCCTCACCCAACTTCTCTGCCCATGATCTTATCATCCAAAACCACGGTCAGTACATAACCAGAGTATGTTGTCAAAAGCAGGAAGTTGACTTTGGTAAAATATTATTAACTCAGGTAGAAATCTTATTTGTATTTCACCAGTTTTTATGTGCACTCTGTTATTTTTGGTTTTTTAACGGCAATATTTTTATTTAAAGATCTAATGCAGGTATCTCTGGTAGCATAGTGGCTAAGGCACTTGACTGCTAACCAGAAGGCTGGTGGTTCAAACCCACCGGCCACTCCTCAGAAGGAAGATGGGGCAATCTAATTCCGTAGTGATACTGCCTCGGAAACCCAAGGAGGGGTCGCTATGAGTCGGGTCCGACTTGACAGCACGTAACAACAACAACAAATGCCGGTATCAATAAGTCTAAACATTTGTAAGTATTTATCTTTAGGAAATGATAGAAGATACTACTAGATGAATGTATAAGAAATCTCACTAACGGGTTATGTGACAATAGCAAATATTGGGGGGATTAAATGTCTATGGGTCAATGTCTGGTGGAGTAAATTATCTAGGCAACTGAATACCATTAAGCAATGAAGAGATTAAGAGAGAGTTGCATGTAAGGCTGTACATAAATAACAGAAAGATGTTTACAACACATTGCTGAAATGAAAAAGTAAGAGCAGTATATAAAATATGAGTAGATTTTTGTAAAATAAGAATATGCCCAGAAAAACTCTGGAAGGACATTTTCAAAAGCATCAAAGGCGGTGAACTGCTTGATGTGGCCCTTCTAGCCACTGTCCTCCATTCTGTGATGTGTTGTAAATCCTATTATCCACACCTGTTTGGGGTGGTGTGGTAGTTAAGGCCAGGTATCAACTTGGCTGGGCAGCTGGTAGTAGTCATTCCCTATAATGACTGGCAATCGGCTCTGTGATGGGATTTGCCTTGAGCTGCTGATTGTTAAAGCCATACACTTGGGTTATTGCTGTTGGGGCAACACAGGTGGAATGTATCTTGAGTCCTGCCTTGCTGGAGGGTATAACTCAAATCACCACCCATAGCTTCCTTGAGAGGGTACCTATGAATCTCCTGAGGAGGTTTGCTCTCCTCTTGCTCAGGTTTTGTGTCTTGGATCATCCTCATCTCACCCCTGGATTTGGGACAGCAGCCATCATCTGATCTGCTGATCGAGGTTCATCAAACCCCGAGAGTTGGGAGGATCCACCAGACCTACTCACGGACCCAGGACTCGCCAGCCTGCCAGCCTCCACCACTACGTGAGACAAACCCTTGGGTGTCTGTGAGGCGTTACAGCAAAATACAGAACCCTAAGACTGGGGAAATTACTGGGAGAAGGAGGAGGAGTTAATGTGTGAAATGATGGAGTGGTACAGTAATTTGGACATTGGGACATCTTTAACCTCCGCCTCATGGGGACCAGCCTTGTGCTGATCTTTCTGAGAGAAACTGTTCAAGCAAGCTGCACATAAACAACAGAAAGATGTTTACAACACATTGCTAAAAGGAAAAAGTAACAGCAGTATATAAAGTATAAGTAGATTTTTGTAAAATAAAAATATGCCCAGAAAAACTCTGGAAGCACATTGTCAAAAGCATCAAAAGCAGTTATTTTTAGGGAGGAGCACGTTCACTGCACTATTTGTTTACATTTTTTCAATGGCATTTATTTTCTTTAAGACGCTCTGGTGGCTCAGTGCCTAAGACATTTCACCACTAACCAGAAGGTTGGTGGTTCAACAGCCACTCCGCAGAAGGAAGATGGGGCAACCTACTTCTGTACAGACTGACCGCCTCAGAAACCCTATGGGGGTCGCCATGAGTCGGAATCGACTCGGTGGCAGGGAGTTTGGTTTGGGTTTTTGGTATTCTCTATTCACAAAGCAGCAAAAGTGTTTCTTTCTTAAAACGTCACTTTGAAACCAGGTAACTCGTTTGTGGCTTCATGAGGTTTTTTCCCTCACCCCATTAAATGACAGTCCATCCGAGCACACACACTTTGCTCCTTCTCAAATCTTCACACTGAAAAGTAAGTCCTGTTGTGGTGGTTATGTTTTTGTGTCAAGTTGGCTGGGCCTGGGTGAGTGGCTGGGCAGCTGGATGTAGTTATTCCCCGTGATGAGACTGCTAATCAACTCCATGGTGGGATCTACCACAAGCAGCTGAGTAGCTGCCTTTGGGATGTGGTCTGCTTCCCGTATATAATGAGAAGCTTTGGGGACAGTCTCTAGCCTATGGCACGCTTGGACCCTGCATTGTAGCTGTGTCATTGTTCAGCAGCCTGCCATGCTCTGCCGACCTTCGGACTTACAATGTACTTGAATGGCTTGCCATGTGGCTTGGTAACATCGGGACCGTGCCTTTTTACTTGTCAACCTTGGGCTTGGCAGCCTCAGCAGCCAGCAGCTGTCTGAGTGAAGAAACGCCTCCAGCTCCAGTGGGCCGGGAGCTGGACGTAGGGCTGAAGCCCAAGGCTGAGGGGCTTTCCTCCAGCCCCTAGAGCCTGGCACTTTGAACTTGGACTTAAAGCCTCCAAACTGTAAGAGAATAAACTCCTGTTTGTTCAGGCCATCCCATTGGTGGTATAGTCCTGTCAGAGTGGCACTAGGGACCCAGGACAGGTGTTGATGTTGATTTACCATTCAATTATTTAGAAGCCTCTAAGTCACAAACTAAAAAGAAACAAACAATTGCGTTTTCTCAGGGTTGCTGATGCTGTCATTTCGTTTTGCTTCGTGCCCTTAACCTAGAGAAAATCTCATTACGGCAGTAGGATGGGTTACCAAAAAATGGCTAGCCCTCATGGCTTCAGAGCCAGAAAATAATTTTTTCAAACCTAAAAAAAAAACAAACCTCTCTGTATTTCATGGGCAGGTACTGAAGTTACAAATGATTATTCAAAGAGCTGGAGCTGCCACCACATAAAGAAGGCCATTGTGGAAGCAGAGACATGCAGTGGCCCGTGTCACTACCAAGTACAAACAAGGGCACCACAAAACAACAGAGTTGCCACGGAGTTGATTCCAACTCCCGTCAGTCCCACGTGTGTCAGAGCAGAACTGTGCTCCACACGGTTTTCATTGGGTGAGTTTTCAGAAGCAGATGGCCAGGCCTTTCTTCTGACGTACTTCTGAGTAGACTCGAACTGCCAACCTTTTGGTTAGCAGCCAAACATGTTCACCGTTGGCACCACTCCGAAGTCTAGAACACTCACTTGAATTCACAGGCTCCACTAGTCATGATCAAAACATGGATCGCCTGATATGAACACCTCCCCTTGCCCAGATCTGTCAAATGTCACTGATCTTTCAAGCCCCAGATGAAATGCCGCCCCTTCCATGAAGTGTTCCCAGATAGTACAAAGCCCCATCCCTTCTTCCCTTAGGATTTCTTACCTGTTTTTATCAGAGTTTTATGTGTCAGCAAAATTATTCTTCTCCTATTATTTAAAACCCATTGCCAGTGAGTTGGTTCCAACTCAATGACACTATGGGCAGAGCAGACTTGCCCCACAGGGTTGCCAAGGTTATAATCTTTGTGGAAGCAGACTGCCACATTCTTCCCCCACAGAGCAGCTGATGGGTTTCATCTGCCAATCTTTCGGTTAGCAGTCGAGCACTTAACCACTGCACCACCAGGGCTCCTCTTCATATTACTCATATCCCTTCCTCTCCCTCCCCTGGTTCATAAATTCTATACTAGCAAAAAAGTGTATATTTTTACCGTTGCATTCCTCTCAGTATCTTAAGGAGGCACAGTGGAGATTGTCTGGATTTGACAAGACCGAACGACAGAGATGGGGAGTGGGATGGGACACACGAATGGAATCGAAAGACTTTACCCCCCCTTGCGTGTGTCCTGGCACTTCTGTTAAGTGCCCTCTCTGTTTGATAGGCACCTCCTACGGAATAAAGGGGGATTTTTACTTCCTTATTTTACAGAATGGAAGCAGGAACTACATTGCTGACTTCCACAGAGAGAACTGGGACGGACAGGATCAACAACTGCTC